GGCGGACTCTCAACCACTGCGCCACCAGGGAAGCCCAAAACTTTGATGTCTTATACCTTATGTAAAACCAGGTTTTATTTTATTTTACCTCGTTAGACGTTTTGTAAAAGATATATGGGGTTTATGAAATGTTTATCAAGGTACATGATTGACATTTTTTTCAGTTTCGAATATGAAACTTTAAATTTTGAGTGTTTATATAAAGAAGAGGCATCCTGATGGATGCATGAAGAAAAGCTGTTGGCTCGAGGCAAGTGCAGTGTCGGGTATATATGTGACATAAGGTGCTCACCCTTTATTTAGCGAGTGTATCTGTCACTGTAGAGGCTGTCAGAATTCTGTCAGTGACAAGGTTCCAGGAGGAATCAGATATGGAATAGTTTTGATGGGTTAGGGTGAGGATATGTCAACCCTCAATCACATTAGTGTGTGTACAAGGTCTTATTAAATATATAGACACGTTGCATTAATTGGAGAAAAGTTATTCGGCTTCAGTATGAGTTACTTTAATTTTATCCTGGTAAAAAGTGCAAGGAGGCAGGTACTGCAGTTGGAGGAGGAAGAGGTGCTTTGGAAGGTTCCCTAACTTCTTCTGAGACATTCTAAATCTGAAAGGGGATACGTTTGGATCCCTAAGGGTCTTCACAGCTGTAGCATTATGTTAGTATAGACCATTGCTGTTCAAGAGAACTATAATGCAAGCCGCATTTTTACATTTTAAGTTTTCTAGAAGGCACTTAGAAAAAACTAAGAAGAAGCAGGTTAAATTAATTTTATCATATATTTTATTTAACCCACTATATCCAAGACATTATCATTTCAACATGCAATCAGTATAAAGTCATTAGTGGGATATTTTATGCTCAATTTGGACTGTCTTCAGAATCTAGCATATATTTTAAATTTACAGCGCCTCCAGTTGAGATCAGCCATGTTCAAGCAGTCCGTCACCACACAAGGCCAGTGACGGCTGCAGAGGAAGGTGGCCCAGGTGTGGTCTCTTTGTAAGTGGTTTGCATAATCCTGAGGTTGTCACATAGTTGCAGGTTTCGAATGGGCTGGTCCCATCTTTGATCTCTAGGGTGAGAGAAAACTAACTCAGAATGATCTCAAACCTTCATGTTTTTAAACTAGAAACAGTCTCTCTTTGATCACGGGGTAAATTTGTATTCTGTCCTCTCCTCGGCCACGTCTCCACCCAGCCAGTTCCCCATGGCTGCCACCTTGGTTAAATATCGAGGAGTGCGTGAACTGAGACAGTAGGGTCACAGGTCCCTTCCCCTCACTATGGATCCTTAAGGTGAAACATGATCCCTCCTTACCTGCCCTTGGCCTTGATGAACTGGGCTGGATCCAAAGGTCCACCCTTAACCCTGTTAACGTCTTTCCAAAGGGCTGGGATTAAATGGACTTGAGCCACACACTTTATGCTTATTTATGATTCCACTGGCTTCCCTAGATGAGGATACATCCTACACGGTAGGCCCCCCCATGCCCCGACTCACTACAGCCGGAGCAGGGAAGAAAGGATTATTATTCCCCTTTCATTGACGGGGCCAGCAGATGGTTCCACAGGCCTCTTCTCCCTCAGCACCCCGACGTCCCAGCCTCTCTTGAAGAAGAGCTTGGTACACCCCCAGCTGTCCTCTTGCCGATGAGAGGATGGATAGCCTAAATCTACATTCTGTTTCAAAAAAGCTCATACCTTGACTATTATCTCGATTTTAAACATTTCTTTTAACACAGAGTGACTTTGTAAACTATTGAGCACAAGTATGAAAATATCGAAAGGAAGAATCATTGTGTACATGTAAGCAAGGGAACCCAGTTGTCAAATGCTGCATTTTGATGATCTTTCTGGGTGCAGAAGCGTTGCCCTCGTTCTCCTGTGGTTTCTCCGTGTGGGTATCCCTCACTTTTCTGCCTGCAGATAATATGAGGAAAGGCAACTGTGCATCTGCTTCGTTCAGAGAAAATGTCAATTCACGGCCCTCTCCACCCCTCAGCCAACGCTAATGTTAGCATATTGCCGAATGAAAACGTTGTTCATGTGCACTTGGGAAATGTTCGGTGATGGTTACAGCTGAACAGGGCCAGGGGGTGGCAGCATCAGGCAGCTGCGGCGGCTGCAGGTCTGGCTGGGCTGCTCTGCTCAGGGCCGAAGCCCAGCACCCTGGTGTTCTAGCCCCGTCAGCCCTGCATTTCCTAACACAAAGGCAGAAAGGAACTCTGCCACCTGGAAGATGATCTTGCCCAATCCAGAGAGTTTTCTTCAGTTGTGATGGGAAAGATGCAAAGCGGTGTGTGTTGCAATTAATGAAGTTTAATTGAAGGGGTGCTGGTCAAGCTGGTGGAGAGGATTTGGGGTCATGCGAAAGCCCCAGCAAACACAGTCGCTGCCCACGAACCTGCAGTCTGGACTTCCAGCAGGAGCACTGTCCTGGGAAGGGAGGGCCTCCGATCACAGCTTTGGACCTTAAGACTTTTGCATAGTTTTGCTTTCATAGGGGCAAGTACACGGATTATTACTCAAGATCTTTTATGTCTCCTGCTATTGTAGGTGTATTTGTTCCATATTCTCTCCCTCACTCGCTCCCCCTCTCTCCCTCCCTCCCTCCCCCTCCCTCTCTCCCTCCCTCCCTCCTTTTTATGCTGCAGTGCAGCTTGGCTTTTACTGTTTGTGATAGTCTGTGAAAGAGAGATTTTTGTGACTTGATGGCAGTCAAAGGTGGGAGTGATTTGTGAACTTTGAGACTCAACTTTTCTTTAAGTGGAGAGACAGGAAGAGGGCATTTTGCTTCTAGGAAACTGGACCTTTATGGATGAAGTAAAGAAAGAGGAAGAAAAATATATCTTAATCATAGCAGTTAATGTTAATTTAGCATTTCCTATTTGTCAGGCACATGCTAAGCAATGTCTCCATGTTATTTAGTTGGTAAAATACCCCTATGAGGCAGGTACTGTTATCCCTTTTCACATAGGAGGGAACTTAGATTAGGTGACTCACTGGCTCCGTGAGTTTCGGTAGGTGATAGAGCCAGGCTTCAGACGCAGCTGGGCTCCTCGCAGCTCTGTGCCTTCCCTGCACGCCTATGTTATGTTGCCTTCTGAGGCAGCTGGTTGTTGGGTAGTGACGATGTAGCTCTTGGATGAGAACAACTGTTCAGGCGTTGTGCAAAGGAGAGGTACGGGCCCACTTCAGCCAAAGAACTGTTAACCTAACATGGATTGTACCTGAGGGAATTTCAAGACAGAAAAAAGAAATCTCTGCTGTGAAAGGCAGGAGACATTTGATGGCTCCAAGCGTCGTGTAATAATGAAATACTAAGATTATCTGCTTGTATTCGGGGGAAAATTAAATAATTGAATAACTGGCTGTTGGAAAAAGAAGATAGAATCTATTTATGCATTTTTGTAAAGCAAATCAATTGAGAAGAAAGGGAAAATCAAAGGGTCCGGAGGGCTCATGGCATTTTGTGTGGAACCACGCCACAGTTTCATGTGGATTCTTGGCAACCTTCTCAGAAAACAAAAACAAAAACAGGAACAGCTCTTAAGGTTTGAATGAGGACAATTATACTGATCAAAGGACTATTAGAAGACACCTTATCAATTCGTGGAAGGTATGGGACACTTATTTCAAAGTTATTTGAAAATTATTTGTGTTTCATGGGCTGTGAATTATTCCTCTAACCTTCCCATCCATCTTACTATTAGCGTTCTTCCTGGGATTTAGAATATCTCTCTGCAGGCTCGTGTTCAGAGGAAGTTGTTTTGCTGAGTTTGATTTTTCCTTTTTCTTTTTTTTTTTAACATCTTTATTGGAGTATAATTGCTTTACAATGGTGTGTTACTTTCTGCTTTATAACAAAGTGAATCAGCTATGCATACACATATATCCCCATAGCTCCTCCCTCTTGCCTCTCCCTCCCACCCTCCCTATCCCCCCCCTCTAGGTGGTCACAAAGCACCGAGCTGATCTCCCTGTGCTATGCGGCTGCCCACTAGCTATCTATTTTACATTTAGTAGTGTATATATGCCCATGCCACTCTCACCTCATCCCAGCTTACCCTTCCCCCTTCCTGTGTCCTGAAGTCCATTCTCTACGTCTGCGTCTTTATTCGTGTCTTGCCCCTAGGTTCTTCAGAACCTTTTTTTTTTTTATTTTAGATTCCATATATATGTGTTAGGATACAGTATTTATTTGTCTCTTTCTGACTTACTTCACTCTGTATGACAGATCGTAGGTCCATCCACCTCACTACAAATAACTCAATTTTGTTTCCTTTTATGGCTGAGTAATATTCCATTGTATATATGTGCCGCATCTTCTTTATCCATTCATCTGTCGATGGGCATTTAGGTTGCTTCCATGTCCTGGCTATTGTAAATAGAGCTGCCATGAACATTGTGGTACATGACTCTTTTTGAATTAAGGTTTTCTCAGGGTATATGTCCAGTAGTGGGGTTGCTGGGTCATATGGTAGTTCTTTTTTTTTATGATTTTTCCTTTTTCTTTCTCTGCCTCCTTTTACTAATCCTTTCTAGTAGTTTGAATGGTTTCAGGATCCTGAGAGTAGAGTCGGGTTTTCTTTAAGTGGCTAAGGCTCCCATCCTGCAGCCATGTCAGGGGTGTTTCAGGTGTGTCATTGAGCTCGTGGGAATTTGGACGTACTGTTAGAGAGAGGCTGTGTGCCTCGAGCCTTAAGACATCCCAACTTTCTATGGGTTATGGCCTCAGGCAGTGATCGCTCACCCTCTCTTCTTGGCCTCTTTTCTGCTGGCCAGTGGGGAGCCTGGTTCATACACAGCCTCCTACAAGCCAGGGGTGAACTTTTATTCCCCCTAATCAGACAGAAGCCAAACTCCTGGTTTCCTCTGCTTGCCATATTGTGCTTCATTTGTTTCTGGCCCATGAAGACTTTTTTTCCCTCCCATGTTTGTGTCTAGAGTGAAATGGGGTGTTGAAAGTGTGAACTCATAGCATTATCTTTACTCAGAAAAGATAGACCTATTTCAAATAAACGTAACAAAAATCTCCCTAAAGGTAAATGGACTGAGGTCTGCATGATCATCTCTCAGAAGTTTTAAAGAGACTGCCTTCTTCTCCCTGCTCTGTATGGGATATTGAATTGGTTTCTAGAAAGTTCCACCGCATTTCTGAGAGTCTCTGTTTCTACTCAGGGCTGTTTACAGCTGCAGCCAGTGATCCCAGTTTGTTGGGATTTCTGAGTTTTCACCTCCTTTTTAATGACTTTTAAATCCCCCTCTTGTAGTTTATTAGAGGTATCTGCTTTTACCGTGTCTAGTTTGTGCTTTTAGCAGCTCAGGAGCAATAGCTAACATAGTCATCAGCACTACTTTACCATCTGGCATTTTTTCCCTTTACTTCAGTTAGCAAGGTTAGTGAGTATTGTGTGTAAGGGAAGAGCTAAAGAAGTGCTGGCTGGAAATCTAAGGACTTGTCTAGGAGCAAATCGCCCAGTTTGGGGGAAAGGGGGGGATTTTGGACACTAGTGTAGGTCTGGATTTTTAGTTTACCACTTTGGATGAACATAGTGGTATCCGTTTCTAGAAGGTAAAGACAGTTTTAGATTTCTTGCCAGATGGGCAAGTTTGACATCCTGGGAAGTACTCGTCTTGGAGGAGAAAGGATTTTAGATGCAAGTCAACAGACCTGGCATGACTCCGACTCTGCCACTTTTGATTATTTTGTCTTGAGCAAATAACATGACCTCTGTGTACCTCAGTTAATAAATCTGCAAATTAACTGAATTTGACTAAGCAATTTCCAAGGTTTCCCCAGTGTTCCACAGGTTCCCAAGGTACATGCCATGGTCTCAGGGATGTTCAGGCCACATCTAGAGCCGGGTTTAGTTCTTTACTGAAAGGTCCCCTGCACCAGAGTGGCTAAGAGGTTGGCCTTTGGTGTGTGGCAAACCTAGATTTGAATGTCAGCTCTCCCTCGCAAATGATTAAGGAGGTTACTACTAAACCTTCCAAGTCTTGGTTTCCTTATCTACAAAATGAAGACAAAAATTATATCTATTGTAGAGAGTTGTTTTGAAGTTTAATAAGATAATTCCGTAGAAAAATTTGCTCAGGGACTAGCACATAGAAAGCAATCAGTATGCCTCTCTTTTTGTTAATTGTAAACTCCTTGAGAGCAGGCATTCTGCCTTACCTATCTTAGTGTAGTTCATTTACCTTTTTATTTCAATTACTTAGTTCCATGTTTTATATGCAGTAGTGTTCAATAAATGTACTATTAAAGTACAATTTTTTAAAAATTTTAAAAAATAATTCTCATACAAATTTAGAATGAATACATGTCAAAAATTTATTTAGCTTTTTTTTTTTAAAGAAGATGTTGGGGGTAGGAGTTTATTAATTAATTAATTTATTTTTGCTGTGTTGCGTCTTCATTTCTGTGCGAGGGCTTTCTCTAGTTGCGGCGAGCGGGGGCCACTGTTCATCGCGGTGCGCGGGCCTCTCACTATCGCGGCCTCTTTTGTTGCGGAGCACAGGCTCCAGACACGCAGGCTCAGTAGTTGTGGCTCACGGGCCTAGTTGCTCCGCGGCATGTGGGATCCTCCCAGACCAGGGCTCGAACCCGTGTCCCCTGCATTAGCAGGCAGATTCTCAACCACTGGGCCACCAGGGAAGCCCTATTTAGCTTTTTAATAAAGGAATCAGCAAGATAATACAAGAAGAGGAAAATGATTATGTAGTTCATACCAAAATAATTTTTCTAAATTTGAGACAAAATTAGTTTATGCCCTTATGGGGGAATAGAACCATAACCTTTAAAGTGATCTCTTCTTGACATTTGTACCTCTGCAGGACAGAAATCCTCAAGTTAACCTACAGTCATAAAGTTCTTAGATAAGCCTGTGACACTACTCTAGAATGACATTGTGAGGATATGCAAGTTTCTTTTTGGTGTTTCCAAGTTTGGAGTAATTTTTCTAAATAGTTATAATAAGACTAAACCCAAAGTATTATTTATCTTAGAAAAAGATTAAACAGGAATATGATTCTAGTATATAAGTATCTGTTTTCTGCCTAAACTTACAATAAGTACTAAGTTCATCCATAATTATGTTTTCATAATGTTTCATGGGATAAACATTTCCTAAGGGATACTTAGGAAAGCACGTCTAATTTCTAAGATAACATGGAGAGTAACCATTTAATAAGTGCTTACATGGGCCATGCACCATAATGAGGGTTTTATATACGTTTTAGTTTAATCTATAAACAATCTTGTGAGGTAGGCATTATCTCCATTTTGAAAATCAGATAAATGAGTCTGTGAGGTTAAATAACTTAATCAAGATTACAAAGCCAATATGAGCCAGAATTGAGGTTTAGTCTGATCCTGAGTCTTAGATTTCCTGCAGTGCCCTATGTATATACCTCCCTAAATTGTAAACTCTCCTGAATTTTAAAGTACATCTCTAGGTAACATACAGATGAATGGGTCTAGTTTTGCTTATATGATACAGCATATGCAAAATGGTTCTTTTTCCTATAAGAGACTTGCCATTTTGAAACTGCTTGAGATAAGTGGTCTTTCAGTTCCCTGGTCACTGGATTAAAACATGCATGTTTTAAAGAAAAGTAGAACTATTCTATTTGCTCCTTTTAAAGGCCCCTGTTCTCAGGTTGTCGTCTTTGTAACTTATCTGTCTTCCTTATATCTCTTCTGGTCCCCAAAATGTCTGTAGGTGGGCTGGATCCTTTCCATTCTGGATGAACTGCAGCTGAGCCCTCAGCCTCCGGTTGGGGTCCTTCCTCTGGGGACTGGGAACGACCTGGCTCGAACTCTCAACTGGGGAGGGGTAAGAACTGCCCTCAGGGGCTGCCCATGTCATCCAGCAACAGATCCCCAAACCCACAGATGCTCAAGTGGAAGGGGCACATGCTACTCTTGTTCAAGGAACGAGTTAGAGTTGAGAATCAAGGTCCCCCATGAACCATGGTTTTATCTGGTGACTTCTTCAGTTTAAACTTATAGTCAGCTAGAGAAGAAGGGAACATTTTATATTTAAAAAAAATGGGGGTCAGTACACAGGCCTGGGGCTTTTTGAGGTACCCACTAAAGACAGAGGATGGGTTGGCCTTAGGTCCTCATGTTAAACAATCACAGAGACTTGAATTGCTCCTGACCCCCAGTCCTCTCCAGAAGAGTGAGTCTGGTTCAGATTTACCATCCTGGAAGAGTTATGGCTTTGTTTGAGCATTTAGATTTCTGGTCAGTGTCGTCATGATTTTATACAGGTTATACAGGTAACCAACTGTTGGTTATACAGGTAACCAACTGTCCTTTTCAACATGGAGCCAATTCAGGAAAGCTTGTTGAAAGTAGTTTAGCTGTCACTAACCAGCCATTTTATCATCGTCATCATCATTATTTTTATAGTACTAAGAAAATAAGAAAGCACAATATGCTAACATATGCTGCTCCACCAGCTTTTTAACTGCTCGTATGAGACCATTGCCTGGGCTGAGCTCCATGAAAACTACCTTCAGATATTAGCAGATGTTACTCTGGCTTTTGGGTGCATTCACCTCCCATAGGTGATAATTATGTCCGGATATTAACAGATATTTATTTGGCCTTGGATGAATTAACCTCCCATCGGTATTATTGGCATTAATTCCTCTTATCCAAATCAGTGACTTGACTGTCTTTAATAATCGTGCTATCAGTAATGTGTGCTCAAGGAGTAAGTAGCTAGCTCCCTAGCAGGGCTATTCCTCAGTCAGACTTGCCCTAGGTCCTGGAAGGAATGGTGTCCTAGTACAAGGTCAGGGAGAGGTGAGTGAAATGGAACGTCAGTGGAAGAAATTGTCTAGCCGATGTCACCTTAATTCTTTTCCCGCTTTTCCACATACATTTGTTCTGTGTATCCTCCAAATTCCTCTAGTAGGAGGCCTGGGGCGACCTGTTTTCACTCTGATAAAAACAGCCATCCAGCATGGATCTCAAAAGCCTGCCGGTGGCTATTGGTTCTTGGTGCTGGCAAAAGTCATTCCTCAGCTCAAACCAGCTAGAGTTAGTATTTCTGTGCACATTACCCATGCCTATTGTCTTAAACTCTAAGTACCTGGAGGAAAACAGTTTACTCTCCCAGCCTTGCTAATTACAAAATAAACAGCCGTAGAACAAGGGCTCTGCCTTGCATGAAATACCTTTGGCTGTACTGTTCCCTACTCCAGCAGCAATGTGTGTGCTCTTTGATTCCTTAGGGCTACACTGATGAACCTGTTTCTAAGATCCTTTGCCAAGTAGAAGACGGGACAATTGTACAGCTAGATCGCTGGAACCTCCATGTGGAAAGAAACCCAGACTTGCCTCCAGAAGAACTTGAAGATGGCGTGTGTAAGGTTAGAGAGTTCTTCCTTCAGCAGAAAGCTAACCCTGGAGTATCTGCCTGAGTCACAGGAAATATGTTCCTGGCTGGAGGGTCACGTGCTGATTCCTTCCTATGAGATGACAGGACGGTGTTTGAGTTGACAGCTACTAGGGCTATAACACTTCCTGATGATTCTGCCCCGTAGACTTCTAAAGACCAAGATTTCCTACCTACTTTCATAGAGCAGGGAGCTGTTCTCTGTCCTCAAATTCCACACCAGAAAGAAATATATCAGTTTTCTAATCTTTCTATTTCTAATCTAATCTAATCATTGCAAACTCTTAACCTATGAGTTTAAAAAAATCGTATGATCTGAAGCATTAGGCACAGGGTCTTTCAAAAGAAAGAAAAATGCCTGAGATTTCTCGTCTGATAGCAAATATTTCAATTTCATCACTTGATTGGGACATCAAGATGCCTAAATAAATGTTTGACTTAGTGTTTTTCCTTCAGTGATTGAACTTGTATCTCAACCCAAGACAAATCAAGGGACATAATTGTAAAAATGCTACTATAGAGCTTCAGGGGAACATTGGCTTTAAGTTCTGGCCTCAATCTCAGATAAATCTGATAGGTTTCTGAGTAGACACTTGCTTTCTATTACTTTCCACTTTTCTTCTGTAACGGTGTTTTCAAATTTTTGTTGTGTAAGAATCTCCAGGTGTGCCTATAAAATGCAGATTACAAGGTCCTATTCCCAGTGATTCTGATTAAGTAGATGCAGGGTGAAGGCCCAGGCATCTGTACTTAAACAGCATCCCTGCTATATTGGGTTGTGCCATTGATTGAGGCCAAGATTTCATGGTGGTTTCAGCCTTAAAATCCGATATCATTTTAGACCAAATCAATGCACCTTTATTGATTAGTACCATAATCCTGACAATTGTGATAGATGCTCAAGTTACTTATTTGGCTAAAATTGGTTAAAACAGGTTTTGTCTTACCTTCATGGTTTTTTCACCTAAACTATGATCCAGAAACTATAAGGTTTTTAGTAGATATCACGATTGCTCAGTTGATCTTGAGTTCATAACGTCACAATGTTGTTTAAACAAGTGTCATCTTGGGATATAATACTTCTTCCTAATGTATTTGACTTACAGAAGTTGGATAGAAAACAGCTAAAGTACAAAGAAGTGTACCATATGGAAATGTTATGGACCTATCCCCACTCAACTTGGAGTGGTTAGAACCTCAATAGCAATCTATATTTAATTCTCTTCCCAATAGCTTAAGAAATGGAAAGACTTCTTGGTGCAGCCTGGGAACATTAATCCAGATAATTAAAGGGTTTTGAAAGTGAATTTTTGAGGAGATGTGTAGGAAATCAGGGCAATTTTTCCTGGAAAATATGAATAAGAACTTAATAACAGACTAAATTGTGATGTTATTTAGGGGATGGTGACCAGATGTTCTCCTAGTGGATGCTAAGACATGGGTTAGAATTGTAGCCAAAAGAGCATAAATGGGAGAAATGAACATATCTGCGCTTTTGGCAGGATCACCAACCCTTGCTGTCATTACTAAGGACTTGTATTTTGTTTCAGTGCAGGAACTGGACATTCTCATATTTGAAGCCAGGAGAGTGAGACATGTTTTGGCAAGGTTCTATGTGTTTAGTTTCTCTCCCTGTTCTCTAGTCGGTTTTAACCACTTCTAAGGGCTGATCTGACCTCTGAATCAGTACAAGCTCTGACTCGGTGTTCCATCGAAGGTTCATCCTTTATTTCAATTTTTCTCTTTCTGCATTAATATCTCTCTTGCTCTCCCTCTGACTCTTCCTCTCATTTCATTTTTCTCTTAATGGGACGTGATTATCGCTCTAGTCAAACAGAAAGTCTTACTGATCAAGGGGCATATGAAACCCTGTAATAAACTTACTTTTGAAATCTTGAGGCCAAACACTTATTTCTAATAGAAGAGAAGTGCATTTCTATCTGGAGGATAAACCTGATAATTATCTGGAAACATTATCTAGGCTGAGATAAAATTACCTCTCCATTTCCTTTTTTTTTTTTTTTTTTTTTGCGGTACGTGGGCCTCTCACTGTTGTGGCCTCTCCGGTTGCGGAGCACAGGCTCCGGACGCGCAGGCTCAGCGGCCATGGCTCCCGGGCCCAGCCGCTCCGCGGCATGTGGGATCTTCCCAGACCAGGGCATGAACCCGTGTCCCCTGCATGGGCAGGCGGACTCTCAACCACTGCGCCACCAGGGAAGCCCCTCTATTTACTTTTAACGTTTATCTTTCATTCTGAGTTGCAGAAGGAAAAGTGTAAGAACCACCATTTGCCTTCTAGCATTTTCCACATGCTTTTCTAATTGTTCTAACATTCAACTGAAGCCTTCAAATCATATCAGCTTTGTAGTTTTAATGCAGGACTTCAGGCTGCATAGTTTCTTCTTTCCTTTACTCAGCTTGTAGCAGTAACAGCCAGGGACCCAGAGGACTCTGGGAAGGAAAGCTAAGGCTTGTATGTGTATCTGTGTGTCTGCGTTGCATATTTCACAGTCATATTAAAGATAAGAGTTTATAGACTAAATAGGAATCTGAATACTGATAAATACACACACACACACACACATATATATATTTTAATTTTTATTTTTCCTCTAGGTTGAGAATAGCTGAATGGCTCCCACTGACTTATTGCTTACATGACTTTTGTCAAAAAATGTATTTTTTTGGAAAATAAGTGAAGGGTAAACAAATGTTATTCATTTTAAGTTGCAGTATTAATATGCTGAACGTAAATTCTTGAAAAAACTTGCATCCACTGATTAAGAAGGTTAGACACGATCCTTACAATTGAATTTACTTGCTAAGTTTGCTTGTTGAGTCATCCTGTGTAACTATTACAAATGTGCATCCCTCAGCTTATGAGGTTCTCTTATTGCAATATACACAAGAATGGTTCTCATTGAATAATTTGTATTTGTATCCCTTTTTTCCTAAACTATTTAAAATTCTTAGGAGTATCATTTGAGTTGAGCTTTCACTAAAGAATTAATTCAAAAATCTGTTGTTCCTTCCACATAGACACCCCTGCCTTGAGTTTTAATTGATCATTCTCCCAGGGACTTGCCCCAGAGACAAGTGTCTGGCTTTAGGTTTTATTTTCCTCTTTTTGCTTGGTCACACACAACTTCACCTCTGCCTTTGTTCATCGTTGCAGCTTCCTCTGAATGTTTTCAATAATTACTTCAGCCTCGGATTTGATGCCCACGTCACACTGGAGTTCCATGAATCCAGAGGTGAGGACAACGTCCCATTTCCATCTCCCAGGGAGGAAGTTTCCAGCAGGTGTTTTGCATGTTCCGTTTTGTTCGCATATCACTTAAATGTTGACAGTGTGTCTAATGCTGTTCCATTTGAACCTTCATGTTGACCCTGGGAGCTAGACAAGATAGGAACTTATTACAGATGTTGCTCTGAGACCTCATTGTTTAGGGTCTCAAAGATGGTAAAGGTCAGGACCAGATGTTTACTCCGGGACTCAGGACTGCTGATCTTTAGGTTTGACTAGAAGCTTTGAAGTTAGTGAACTACTAAGAAGTGATAAAAAGAGAGTCTTTCACTAAAGTCATTAGAATACTTACAGCTTCTCAAACCGCCAGTTATTAAAGCTCAGGACTTTATAACCAAGGCCATGGAAATCTTGTAGCCAAACATAAAAGTCTTCCCTATGTGCACAAAAGAGACAACAGTCACCTTAGAACAGTACGGGGGCTGGCTATAGGTGGTTTAGGTTGAAAGAAAAGGGCTTGACGGTGATTGGATTAGGCATGGAAGGTGCTTGGAATCTCCACTGGATGAGGTAGTATGAATGAGGGCTGGTGGTCATTTAAGTACTAGAAGAGATGGAATCGAGATTTGGGGAAGCAAAATAACTTTTGAAAGAGAAATAAGATGAAATAATGACAAGTTAAATATTTCATCAAAATTTTCTTATGTCATTCAGAACTGAGAAAGTTTAGGATTTTGTCTTATGCTTTGAAGCCTCAATCTCTTGCTTTCTTGGTCTCTCTTAACCTCTTTCTCTTAAACTCTCTTCTTGTACAATATGTCTCTGCCTGTACCTAGTCCCTTGTGAATATGGTAACATGTAACCAAAATAATGCTTGGCTGCAAGTATAAGTAATTTGTGAGATAAAAGTCATAATGAGGGATTATTTTACTTTTCCTCTAGATTCTGCAAGAGGCTCTAAGCTTTTAACTCATAGAATTTGAAATACAGAGTACAAAAGGCTAAAGTTCAATGGTTCAGATTCCAGTAATAATGCAGAGAAAGTTCTGACAACACTTTTATATACTAAAGATCAGGAATGGGGCTGTAGGATTAAGGCTGTTAGAAGACAAAATAAAAGTAGAGTATAAACCTGTAATTCTCTTACTGAATTCAGCAATTTTGTTAGACTTTGCCTTCCTGGTTTCATGAGGCTTTGAGGGTCAAATGCTGAGCTAAATAGAAGGAGTACTGATTAAAGAAAGAGTCATAGTTTTCTCTGGTTAACCAGAAAATCACAGATAGAAAGGTTGGTTGACAACAGAACCATAAATATCAAATACCCAAATCAGAAACACCGACACGCTCCGCACCTCCCTGCTCTAGACAGTTCTCAGAGATTAGATATTCAGAGGGTCCTACATTAGGGCTGGCATTTATAACCTGCTGCCTTTCCTAATTTAAGGAGAGTAGACTTGGGGAAGTAACTGGAGATTTCTTCCTCCATATCTTACCCCATTTATTTCTCATATTCTTTGGGAGACTCTGGATCTGGGCTTCCTAATAAAATCTTTACGTTTCTTAACAGTACTTGTAAAGTAGTACAGCTATCACTAATGCATGAACCTCCAAATTAGACATCCTGCCAGGAAAAGAGGCCTAAGTGAGGAAGTGCTGGACAGAGAGCTCATTCAAGGGAGCCTAATATTTTGTCTTATCAATCTGAAAGTTATCCTAATGATATGTTTCCTTGTACTGTGGTGAGACTTTGGTGCCTCAGAATGAGAGGGCAGCAAAGAGAGACCTCACGGTGGAAAGACCAAGCTTAGAAAGAATTCTTGTGGGAAAGCGATTTTTTTTTTCTTTTCTTTTAAATTACGGAACTATTTCATTTTAGAGAGGAACGTACCAATTGTGGTGTATATGTATGTCTACATCGTTTTATATGTGTGATTATAAGATAATTGGTTGAAAGATGCCAAGAGTTAATACTTTACTTTGAATCCTTTATTGCCGAGGTTTAGTGTAAGTGCTTTCCTGCAATCGGAAAAGGAATTGCAAACATTTTCCCTGCAGGTAAGCCCAGGCCCTTGAGGAGAAGCAACCACTGAAGAGCTGGATAAGGGAGGATTGCTGTTGATTGAGAGTAACGCATACCATACTTATGGAGAGGATATTGAGACGGTACACAATAAATATGCACAAACTATTGGAACCAGATTTGGTTGATATGCCTAGACCAGAGGTGTGGACTTCTTAGTATCTGTTAGTCTCTTCTTTTTGCGTTAAGAAAAAAAAAAAAAAATCATTATTTATGATAAAAGGTATAATTACTCAAGCTATTATTATTATTATTTTTTTACTGTTGTCCATTTATTTGGATTTTCCCCATATTTTTACCTGGATAGTCAAGAAATCTCAAGCTCAGCTGCAGAAAGAAGAGAAAGATAGCAGGCCGCATTTTCAGTAGGGGCATACGTACTTACTTTGTTGGTAGATTGTGTGAGTGGCTGTTCTCGAGCCACGCAAACCATAGTTGAGACTTCAAACTGTTCTCAAATACAGCTGCTCAGGGACTGAGAGTTCATGACAAAACTTGTATCATTTGCCATCAAATACTTGCAGAGTGATTCAAAGCCCCATAAGAGCCATTACCAAAAAACAAACACAAAAGAGCTTGCACAGAATAACCGATTAGTTATTAGTCCGAAAATATAATACATTGGGAATTACGCTAATCCATTTACATGCAATGGGTAGTAAAAACAAGTCTCACTAAAGCAGAATCTTAAAAAATTTAATTGCAGAAACAATTTTTGGCATAGATGCGAAATAACCCATCAAACTGACATGGGACAAATGCAGACTTCTGCGTTACTATTGATACTTATATTGTGTTTCTTTCAGAAGGGACAATTAAAACGACATTTATTTTGAGACAGTTTATTAGTGGCATTACTGTGTAAATGCCTTTAGAATTACCAGTAAAAAATCAAGCAAGGAGTAAAGATAGTCTTAACATTTTGATTGACTTAACATTTTGTATATAAAGAATGCAAACATGAATAATTTCATCAGATAGAAGGTATACTTAATTTGATTGGAAAACAGAAGCTTTTTTATTCTCATAGTGGCTAAGCCATGCATGGCTGAACTGTTGCACATCAGAACGTGCAGTTGTTTGGAACAGACTTGAGAGTTTTAATAGGATTGGTCATTTAACTGTCAGTTGGAGTCTTGCCCAGCGCTTTAATCACTACTGCATCATGACAGTGCTTGAGGAAGTACATTGAAAATATTCCAATCTATTAACATATAGGCATGTTAGCGATGATTATGGTTATCAGGTAGCAAAGCAAGATCTCACTTTGCCAGCTGCGTGAATTAGATTGTCATTTTGGGGGGGACATGAAGGATATTAAACACATCAAACTTTTAGTCTGAGATTGTCTGCTAAAGTTGTACTGCCTCATTGAAGTTACTTCTTATTCAGAGGATTTGAGCCTCTGCTACAAGGTCAAGGAAATACAACTATGACTCTAGAGGAGGCAGTTTTTAAATCTGATTTAGGATTTGCTATTTTCACCGAATATACAGAGACATGCAGATCAGCATGTTTCAAAGGATTATGAATGTTTCATGATTCATATGGAGAACTGACAGATTTCTTTTAAAAGGTGTTATTTTCAGTGGCTTACCAAATTTCATCATCACCATCGCTGCAAAGGACACAGTGCCAGGCTCTTACCCAGGTAGTAAGACTTAGGCACAGTCTGCCCTTGAGAAACTCTCACTGTCCGAGGTTCTCTGTAACCTTCTTTTCCATCTTGAACCTCAACGTGGCATCTACTCATCATTCAAGACTCAAGTGTACTTGCCTCTGGAACACTTTTCTGATCATTCCCTTTATGTGTGGCTCCTACTTTGTCTTACAGAGACATCTTTCTATGGCATATACAAAAGGACATTTTATTTTTCATTTTCAGACCTGTCTCCCCCACTCTAAACAACATGAGGGCAAAAGACTATGTCTTTACTTTTATATTCCTTGTGCCAAGTCCAGTGGCTGTCTCAATGTTTGTTACAGGAACGGAATGTTTAATTGGAGGATGGGCCTGTATATAAAAAATAAATAAAAGTAGAAGGGAATATAAAGTAAGGGTAAGATTAGTTGTTCAGACAGTGTATAATGTGGGAGTTTGGTAGGGACTGTTGGCAGGACAAAGGTATCAGGGGAAAGTTTCCAGAAAGGGTAGGAGGGAGTATCGTAGGAAATAAAGAAGGAGTTTGTTGTAGACAAGAAGTAAAGTGGGCGAGGGCATTTCAGACAGGAAGGAAAATGAGTTTGTGATAAAGATATGGGTTAGGTGACCAACTAATACATAGTGTAAGATTTTTGCAATGGTGTTCGAAACATGAAGATAGTGTTGATAAAAATATTTGTCCTTAATGGGAGATGGCATTGGAAGGAAAGATGTTTATAATATATACAATTTGAGTTGAAGGTGGCACTGTACTGTGGACGTAGATTTTAGAGTCATTTATATATACATACCTGAAGTCTTAAGATCTAGGAGATATCCAATGCAGAGCATTTGGAAGATGTGTGTTACGTGAGGTTCAAATCACTTACTGATTTTTATAAACATAGTGTTGAACTTATATTTACTCCCTAATAGGCAAGACCAATTTCAGACAAAAGTAGGGTTTAGGATTCCATTCTAATGGCACATGTGTTATTGTGTTGTATACAAAGATGGGATTAATATATTAAACTATTGGAATGGGTTATACCCAGGGTCTGATCATCATTATAAATGGATTACATCCAGAGCGAAATCATTTAGATGATGAGATTTGGGAAGTATGAGCTAATGAGATTTAGATGAGATTTTTGGATTTTGAGTTGATGCTATAATTGAGATGAGGCCTTTAGGGACCTGGGAGGGAGTGAATGTGTTTTTCATACGTGAAGGATGTGAATCATGGAGCCCAGAGGGTGGACGATGTAGGTAGAATTTTGGTCTTCGTGACCTTTGCCATCTGGTGTCACGCTTGCCATTCAAAAATAGGTTTGGGATTTGGAGACTTCCGGCTAGTCAGCCAGCTGTCTGATGAGAAATGACTTGGAGAAAGACCTACCCCTAAGAAGGGATTAATGATCATATGGGACAAAAGAGCAGAAAGCAAATATTTACAGTGGGTTCCTTTGGAATCTCTTGGAATTTTATTAGAAAGAATGTAAGGAAATAGCATTTCATTTGGGGATTTTTTAATCCGTTGAATTCATGTGAACATTTTCCAATGCAAATTCTCGTCTAATCGTTTTATGGTCCTCAACCTATATAACATTCAGGAACAAACTCAAAATTAAACCATTTCAGTCAGAGCTTTTGTTGTCCTATGCCCTGGGTCCATTCTGCAGGTCATCTGTATATATCTATCTATCTATATATCTCTATATCTATATATTTATATAACTTCACTAAATCAAATGATGTTTCAAGGCCTGTCACAGACAACAGTACAGATGGTAGTTAGGAGTTTTTGCAAAATATGAAAGCAAATTCTCTTAATTGTTATCCAAATTCCCCATATGTAATTAAATTTGAAACTGCATAGATAGTTTATGGAAGCCATGTCCTATGGAGGTCAAAGCAAATAATTGACCCTCCCCCTCCCCCCCCTTTCTTCTATCACCCCTGCACTGTATCCCTGCCAGCCCTCTATTTTGAATAGAGTCTAGAGTGTTTCAGCCCTTAATGTGCGTGTGGATCGCCTGGAGAACTTGTTAAAGCAGATTCCTAGACCCCAGCCCCCAGACGTTCTAAGTCAGTAGGTTCAGGGTAGAGCCTAAGGATTTGCATATCTAGCAGGCTCCCAGTTGATGCTGCCACCGACGCCAGTTTGGGGCTACACTTTGCCGCACTGGACAACCGTGCCAGCTGCCTGTAACTAAGGGAAAGATGATGATGAAGCTGTTGGGTCCTTGGGATGGGGAGGGAGAGGGGAGAAGTAGGGGTGCTAATCTAACTCACTACCTTTAATCAGGTCTCTATAACAAAACTACCTTTTCCCTTTTGCAGAAGCAAATCCAGAGAAATTCAACAGTCGTTTTCGAAATAAAATGTTCTACGCAGGGGTAAGTGTATATTTCATTTTTCCTGATTACACGCTATTTATACTAATTCACTCATGGTAATAAAGATGCTAACTATACTCTGCTAATAATTACACACACATCTCACATGTTTACATGTGTGTCTATATATGGTTAATGTTTAATGTCTTGGTTTAAGAATGAAAGTAAGTATGTATTTCTTAAGTTAGTTGTCAGAGAGTTCATCATCTTTGAACTTAAAAGCCCTGAAAGTTGTACTGAGGGGATGGTATTCAAGGAGTGGTGTGAAAAGCAAACATCAAAGCCAATCTAGAGAATGAGGAAATTAGGTAGACAGAAGGATGTATGGCATGTCTTGGGTTAGAATGTAGTTTTCATAGGGGCACGTGTGAACTGACATTTGGATGAGACATTGACAGAATATGGGAAGTTTTTCATGGAAGCATAGATGAGATTAAAGGGGCCCCCTTCTTTTTCCTTCTCCTCCTACTCAGGGACATCCTTGGGTGTGAATGGCTGGAAAGAAGAAAAAGGGGCCTCTAAAATATTGATTTTAAAAAGTGTGGCTTAAATTTTACCACTGGATAGAGAGAATTGAAGTAAAACGGGGTGAAATAAGACATTCTCAGTGGCAAGTTAAAGATTATATCAGCATCTAATGGACAAATAGGAAGATCAGGAAAGGTAGTCAGATCTCCAAACTGACCCTTGAAATTACCTACGTTTTCACTCTTCTACTGTGATCTTAAATTTTATTATAGGTGACATTTTTTTTTTCTTTTTTGCGGTACGCGGGCCTCTCACTGTTGTGGCCCCTCCCGTTGCGGAGCACAGGCTCTGGACGCGCAGGCTCAGCGGCCATGGCTCACGGGCCCAGCCGCTCCGCGGCATGTGGGATCTTCCCGGACCGGGGCACGAACCCGTGTCCCCTGCATCGGCAGGCGGACTCCCAACCACTGCGCCACCAGGGAAGCCCCTATAGGTTACATTTTGAAAACAGAGAAAGAATTCAACTTAGCCTCTGCACTAGTTTACTTTAGATTCAGCAAAAGGAGAACTTGTCTTATATTTTTGCGTAACTTAGAATCACTAGGACCTATCTATCTTACAGAAGTAAGGATTTGGCATAACCATGCAATGAAGATTTCTTTCTTTCTTTCTTTCCTCGTATAGGCAGCTTTTTCTGATTTCCTACAGAGAAGCTCTAGAGATTTATCCAAGCATGTTAAAGTTGTCGTAAGTATTGAATGTGTTGACTCGTTTCATTTAAATGTAAAAAGCGTGCCCCCTAACATGAACCCCAAATACCAGTTTATATACTTAGTCAGTGGGCCGCATAGAACTTTAACTGAATTGAGTGTAGTTTGTTCAACCAACATTTATGAGCATTTAGTTATGTGTCAGACACTGTCTTAGTTGCTGAGGATGAAGTTAAATAAGATGACTGGCTTCACCACTGAAGAAACTCACAGTTGAGTCATGGGGAAGGGCACATAACTCTGGGCAGAACAATATAATAACTGTTGTTATTGGATTACTTATGTAATATACTGGTGGCACAAAGGGAGAAATGAAAACTGCCCATGGTGCAGTCGGGGAAGTCATCAAAGGAATGAAGTTGAGCTGGCTATGAAAGTAGAAATAGATGCTCACCAAACAAGTATCTTTATTCCCAGCCTATCTGAAGAGTCTCCATCTTAGAAAAATACTTCGATTTCATTATTTTGTGGTCACTCACTCTCCAGTCTGGTCAAGATCCTTCACCACTTAAGAGTTTTTTGGGGTTTTTTTGGTGCTATTTCCCTCTGGGTCTCTATCCCAGGTTTTAGGGATACTCATCTTGGAGGCAAGGGAGATGGGAAGTCATTTTTTCTCTAAGAGATCTATTTAAAAATAGCATATCATTGATTATTAAGAAAGACAAAGTGTTTCCTTATAGTAAACAAGTTAAAAGAGGGAATGAACATGACTTTGCTGCACATACCTGTATAAGGAAAGGGAAACATGGAAGATAGAGAAAAATATATAGATGGGAAAGAAGGAATGGGAGTGTAGCAATGCTTGAATTTATCGTGGAATAGATAAAGAATAGCATTTGTGACAGGAGGGGACAGGACAAAAGGTATACATGTAAGTAGAGACAAATATATGACCTTAAACTAATGGATTTATAGAGGAATATAGAGGAGCCTGAGAGGACACAAATTCAAATTTGTTGTCACCGATAAAGCCTGTAGGAGACATGAATCTCCTAAATCAGTTGAGACAGAGTTTACCGCTAATCACCCTCGGCATCACTTTCAGGAGTTTCAGTTCTCATGAAATACCAACGAAAAGCAAGTATCCTATAGCAGTAGCGACTTTTGAAAACTGAAATATCGCCTTTTTAAAGCTAGATACAAGAAAGACACATGGTCCATTGAACTGTGAAGATCTTGATTTTGATAAAATGGTGGGTTAGTTAAGCAGCAGCAACCTTGCCTCAAACTTCCCCTGTTTCTTCTTTGGCTGCCTTCAACCCAGCCAAAAATAAACTTTCCCGCCTCTTGCAGTATTTTTCACATTATTAGGAACATAGCAGCACCTGCCGGGAGAGCCACTGAGTGGAGGGCAGTGGCCATATTGAATGGTAATGCTGTCCACTGTTTAACTCAGCTGGATGGAAATTAAACTCTAGGCCGCCTCACCACTAGAAAGCTTTTCTCCCACATCTGGCAGTCCTCCCGATGAGAAATATCTCAGGCATGGTTGGCTGTGTATCAGGGATTAAAAGAAGCTTGTAGAGAGGCCAAGGTGGCAGTCAAATAACTAGAAAAGATTTGATATCAGCCTGTACGTGTAATATTCCAGGTGGATTGGTCTATGTAATCATCTCTTTTTTTTATGAAGAGAAAAAAAAAACAATAGAAACTAAGTCTGAACAATTCTGATTCAGTCCTAGGTCTATCTTTATGAGGTATATGACTTTGGGGGAAGCATTCAACCTTTCAGAAGAGTTCTCTCTCCTCATCTGTAAAGCAGGCATAACAACATATGCATTTGAAGCAACAGTTACTGACCATTGTGCTGTGACACAGAGGGACACAAGGATATTTCTACAGCGACATCATTGTATGTTTCCTGAGTGTGAGATGAAAAGGATGGGGGGTTAGAGCAATTAGATGTACACATAACAGCAGACCATCTGATCTTTGCCACAGGGTGAAGTCAGTGTTTCCGAGGTAATAGTTAATAATCTCTCACATGAATACTACACACACACACACACACACACACACACACACACACACACACACGCCCAGAGGACAGTAATGAAAACCTACATACAGCATTATTTTGTTCTACTTCACGTGTGTTCTTCTCCTTGTTTTGATGTATCAACGTGTGAGCTTGGACACAGGAAGATATTTTGTGTGCACATATTTTCCTTTGTGTGTTTGAAGTAGGGAAAAAGTTGAAAACTGCCGCTCTAGAGAGTTATAAAGTTTAAATGCAATAATATATAAGAAAATTTTGTAAAACTCAGTACATTGTAAGGTGCCCATCCTCACAGAATTCGTTGAGTTTCCAGAATCGCTGATGAGTTTTTCAGGAGGAGAAAGTAGAAAATTTTTTTAGAAAATGAATTCTGTTCTCAGTACAATAATATTAAGTATAACTTTTTTTCTGTAATGCAACAATACTGCTTTGCATGCGTTTAACGTATCACATGCTATTTTTAAAAAGTTCAGTGGCTTTCAACACTCAATTTTCATCATTTAAGATGTCTACATTTTTTCTTCACTGGTAGAGCCATCTATCGACTCATTTCAAGTCCTTAAATTGGGAGACCTCATGTTTATTTAAGTATCTGAGAGTGTTGTAAAAACACCTTCAGTCAATGTCCAGAATTTGATTCCTATCTAAAAAAAGTTTGAAAATACTTTGTTTATTTAGGATTGTAAGATTCCCCAGGAACAATTTTTGAGAATGCTCATGAAAAAAAAATTAGGCTGTGTTAAGATCAGCTGGGAGGAGAATGAGACAACCTTGACCACTAGCAGAGTCATTTTACCTGGATTGAAACTCCCTCTGAAGCCATCCTTAGAAATTAGCAGGGAGCTTAGGAATGCTTTACCCTCTCTTCAGCAGAGAAGACAGTGGGGGAAATTCTGTGATGAGGGTGTGAGGAGAGCAAATATAAAGCAGGCTTTATACCTTTGACATTGAGAGGCCTACGGTCATGACTAGACTGTGCCTCTTTTGGCATTTGTCACCAGTGGGAAATGAGAAAGGGAAATGAAACCCCTTTCTTTGATTAGTCAGATCATGCTCTTGAGGAAAGTACTAACTGGTGAGGGAAGCCACACACAGAGGTATTGAGGCCAAGCCACCCTGGAGCTCTTGAAACCCAGGGTCACGGCCAGGTTCAATAAAGCAGTTTATCTCAGAAGACCAGTCACAGCCTGTAAGAGAGAAAATTGATAAGAGCAAATCACTAATTAGTGATTGCTAATACTAATTTATAACAGATACTTTTAAAAAAGCATGCAGGGTATATTCCTTTTAAACAGCGTTCAAAATATTATGTCGAATATTTTCAAAATAAAAATTATCTCAGAAAGCAAATAAAATAAATGGCCACATTCACGACTGTTGTTTGAATCAGATGAGTTTGGTAGAGGTTGCTACTGCCTCAACTTGAGGATCCATCCTTTTTATTCTTTTAAGCGTTCATAAAGTTTCTAATGTTGATACTGCCAGCCAACTTATGCCATCCAATAATAATCCAAGGTTAAGAATGGCGATCGCTCCTTTGATTGTGAGACCAGAGAAAAATCATTTTGGTCAAATGGCAGCTTTGTTTTTACACTAAATCAAAACAAAGCCAAGCCCAGAACCCTGGGTCTGGGAAAGTTATAATCAGAATAAATTTTCAATCATAGTAATGGGCATGCACTTCAGCAGAGACAGGGACAAGGGGATGACCATGGTACATGCTGTTGTCACCCTAGTCGTCTTTTAGACTTGAGCCTACTTCAGAATCCTTGCTTTTTTGCTTTGATTGTTGCAGTGTGATGGAACAGATCTCACCCCAAAGATTCAGGAACTGAAGTTCCAGTGTATAGTATTTTTAAATATACCCAGGTAAGCTCTGTTCATATTGTTTCCTTGGTTTGACTTAAGGTTTTCTGCTTCCATTATAGAAAATTTCCAGGTGCAAACGATGAAAAACAGTTATTTTGATGGCTTATTAAGGGTTTTCGAGTCTGATAATTTTGTTCTCCTACTTGGTTTGTTTAGTGTTCTCTGTGGTACTTTTGTGTTTATGTGATACGGCATGCATGGTGTACACTTACCCACCCTTAAGAAGCCCAGGCAGGCCTCTGGATTGGAACATTTTAATGTAATTCTCAATTACTGATGCCTTCCATCCCCTCACCCCTCACCCAGGAATGAGAGACTTGAACAAATCCCTGTTCTCAGTTTCCCAAAAGCTATTAGGCAACCATCCAGCCTGATTTCAGCATGGAATTCATTCAGAATAATTGCCAGATGATCACTTTGAAACAATGGGATCAATTAGAGGAGCATTTTCTAGCCAGGATGTCAACTCTCTTTGGTGCTATTATATACCTCAGGAGAAAGGGATATTTAAGATTAACCAGTCTCAAAATAAGCATGTATCTCAGTGACATCAAATTAGATTCTAGGCTCCCAAGCCAAGGTTTTGAAAGGGGTTGGATCTATGACCCTTTGTTATTTGCAAACCGGACAACTCAGACACAAAAATCCATGGGCAAGTTCTGTTTAGACTGAATTTAGTTGAAATGAGAATTGTGAGTAAATCTATGGCTAGGGAAATATGTCTCCTGATTACTTTTGGCAGTGCTCAGTGTAGCCCCTTACATCCTGTTCCAGAAGTATTTTCATTTTAGTTGTCGAAGTAGAAGGCCTAGTAGATTCTCAGGAAACATTGTTTATTAGCAATAACAATGCTCTTCTCTTTTTCTTCTTGCTCCCCCCCCCCCCCCCCGGACTTTGCTTCCTCCACTTTTCAACTTCCTTGATTTCCCCTTCCCTTTCTAATCTCACGTCTTTGTCTCATCCGTTTTTCACTCCTTCTGTCCGCTTCAGTTACCTTTCCTTCGTCCTGGGGTACTTACTGCCTTCTTTCTGTGTATATTATTGATGCTTACCCACCTCAGTTCCATTTCCCTTTCCTATTGGCATGTATATGTCTCCCTCCAAGACCAAGTTCTGAAACCACCTATTGATAACTCACGGTATGTGATAGACAGTAAGCATTTGTGAATTACAGAGTGAGACATGTTGATAGATAATTAGGAGAAAGTTGGGCTCCACGGGATGCTTTTGTTGTAAAATTTTGCCCCATTTTCATAAATTGATACTTGGAGGTGATAAATTCATTTCCTTTTTTATTGGGAGGTGTGAACCAAGAGTAGAAAGATGTGTGAAATAAACATCGGATCGAGCTATAAATTAATCCCCAGTGATAACCATGGGAAGACTGGAGCAAATTTAGTTCTGTTTTTACTCTTCTCTTGCAGATACTGTGCTGGCACAATGCCTTGGGGGAACCCAGGAGATCACCATGACTTCGAACCTCAGCGTCATGACGATGGTTATATTGAAGTCATTGGATTCACCATGGCCTCTCTGGTGGGCAATGCATCTATGTTATTGAAGTGTAATGTGCTTTAGTCAGAGTTAGACTTTACTATTCATTTTGTAGGACCTTGGTATAATGTTCTTTCCTGGCTTGTCAACTCACAAACTTTATGCAACGTCGAGTTGCCAGGGGAAGACAAAAGCAAAAAGTAATTCTTCACGTCACTAAAAAAATTGATGCATATTTTTTGTTTCACCTTCAAAGATAAATGAATATTATGTGTTAATTATGATGATGAATTTTCTGCCAGAATGAAGTGGAAAGTTTTCATGCTAATTAAAAAGCATTATGCCACAGACATATCCTAGCATTGATGCAGAAACCTTGCCATTTGATACTTTTTTTGGTTTGCTGAGTACATGAGTGCTTAGATAATAAGGAAAGTGGTCATTTGCATTCATCTCCATCTTGCCTGCTTAAGCATAAGATGGGCGTCTCCCTTATCACAAAATACCCGAATATAGAAAAACATCATTGTTGTGACATTAATGAATATTCAGTTGCACAGTATCGAGATCACCTTGCATTTTACTTTTGTTTGCTGGCATTAAAAAAGTAAACGTATAGTATAAGGTCAGTTTCAAGCAGGTTTTAGCCATGTGTTTCAACTTATTATTGAATGATGAGGAAACCAATTAAAAAGTTTGCTTATCATTTTATCCGGTGTAAATCGGGCCACGCTATCAGTTTGTAAAGCAAATTAAAATAAAGCTTCTACTTGCACTTGGCTAGCACTTGGTTTGTGCCATACTTTACACCTCAAAGCAAGAAGGTTGTATTTCTTGTCCTGAGCAACCCAAAACAACTCTTTTTCACTCATCTTGTGAATTCCAAATGACTTTTCCTCCATCACCGGGAATTAGTGAGATTTAACAGAATACCCTATTGTGATTATGGCAAGAACGTCCATCACCTGAGATGGTGATGTTGCTTGTTACATGTGCCATGTCTACAATGAAATGGCCATTAGGTGTAAAAGATTGCTCTAGGATTGATCTAATTTTCAGAGTTGTAGCTCATATATAGCTCTTTCTCTCCAAAGGTCTTTACGCTAACTATAGGTAAAGACTCAGCCGAGAGAAAATAGGAATAAGTCCAGGTAGGGTATGTGCCAGGGAGAATTCTTGGAGGTTCCCAAGACAAACCTGGCCACATGTGTTTTACTCATTCATTTATTCACTAATCCAGTGACCGTTTATTGAATGTTTACCGGGTGTGAGAGCTTCCTAGTCCTGGCTGTGTGGTAGAAGGCTGTCAGGGAATGTCTAAGAGAAGATGATCCCTTACCTAGGCTTGGGAGGGCAGGGAGAATATTAAGACACTTTCCCATTGCTCTCAAGATCAAAATCTAAATCTTTATCACAAAATTGAGTTTCTCTCCGATTCTCCATTCCTTTCCCACTGCCCTCTTTGTCTTCTAGCTCGTTGCCTGTCAAGTCAAATATCGCTTTGGACATCCCTTGCTTCTTTTGTACCACAGGGACACTGCATATGCTGCCTCTCTCTCAAATGGTCTTTACCCCTTCATCTTCTATAACTTCTCAGTCTGTATGTGTGTCAGGTTCTCTTTACAGTCTTTTTTTGGTTTGGGTTGTTTCTGCTTACAATTATATAATTAAAGTCTGAACAAGAAGGATATGGCAGAGTGAAACTGGGTAATTAGAGGAGAATTTAATGGAGGGACTCTTTACAAATAGTGCACTAGGTTTATGAGAAGCAACAATGGATGGTGCTGTATTCCTGAGGTAAAGGTGCGAAGGCAGGGAAGCAGTCAGTTGTACCAGAAAGAGAACTATTGGGGAAAGACCACCTGTTAGGAGTAGTATTTGCTAAGTGAAAGCAGCCGTCCTGTGCCAGCCTGGCAGGGAGAGGGTCAGGGACATCAATACCATTCTTGCCCTCCAGATCTTCTGCCGTTGTCTCCGCCTGGAGAAGTCTAACGGAAGCCGGAGGACAAGGGAGCCATTAATACAGCCTAAATGAGTCAGTTTCACAGGACAAAAAGGAGCGCAGGGAAGGGGTGGAGTGCTGGGTGGGGGTGGCAGATGGTCAGTATCCATCACTCCAGTGTATCTCTGGTACACAGCAGCAAGCCTGATACCTGTAACTGTCAACGAGTACATGTGACAGGATGAATGAATTTTGCCAGGAGAAGAAGAATGGACTTGGCGTTCGGGAAAAAGGGAAATTTACATACACTTGGTAGTATTAGAGACCATAGTCCTCTGTGGAGGCTACAGTTAGTCTTATGTAGCATAAAGGTAGGTGAAGTGAGAGTGATGTAGGTGACGCTGGAGAGGAAGACACGGGTGACATCACAAAGTGCATTATAGAATTTATCTAGGAGTTTTGACTTTGAGGAATTAGTAAGGTGTGTTTTTTTTTATTTAAAAAAATTTATAACGTCTTTATTGGAGTATAATTGCTTTACAATGGTGTGTTAGTTT